GTTCTCTTACAAGTTTCTTCACTTCACTGCTTTAGTTTCCTATGGAACAGATTAACTTTGCACAAGACAATCAGCTAGTTGTGTTACTGTGTGTTTGTGGTCCTTGCATCTGTGTGCATGTGTGACTGTGTCTGTGTGTTCTTTGCTATTGATAAATCTCACTCTGTTCCTTCTTTAATGTCTTTTAGCAACTGGAGCTTTGTCAGAGGCTCTACAAGCTGCACTTCCAGCTTCTCCTACTCTTCCAGTCCTACTGCTCGCTCATAGGTCAAGTTCATGCCATCAGCTCTGTGCCTGAGGTGAGACAACTCATACTTTCACATGAAGATGACACTTACAGTCGTAACACAGCAGCTTATTTAACTAATTATTCTCTGTACATGTGATAAGATTCATTTTATAGCCCATGTACACACTGGGGCTGTAAAGAATAGATAGCATGAAAAAGGGACATATTTACTCGTGATTATCTTGCATCAAAACCGACAGTGACAGTTTCAACATCTGCACAATAAAATGTTTGAATAAATTCACGTGACATCCTTCTTTAAATAAAATTATGAATTCAACATCATCATGTGATGAACACAGCAGGGTTTTTCTTTTCTTGGAGCAAGCTAGCACAACAAATTTCTTCTGGATTATTAAAGTCTTATTTTATAAAGAACATTTTCTCCTCATCTGAGTAAACATTTTACAAATTTCTCCCATATCTAGAAATCTAGTTTTCCTCACCCACTACTAATAACGGAAACAAGTGTATCTGATTTAATGACATTTATGACAATTCTGCAGCTTACTAAAGAAACCCAATTGTAGCCTAGTTACTTAAGTGCACATTAATGTACTGAGTGCTTCTAAATTAGCTCTATCATTTTCATTTCTGTACTGTACAGCACAATATAGGAAATTATACCATTACTGTAACACTATGTCCATGAATGGCACATTTATTTTAACAGAGTCTTCAGTTTGTTATGAGATCCTTATTCATGTTTTAGCTAAATGCTGTTGGAACTGTGATTACATTAAAGCTCACACACACACACACACACACACTCTATCCCCATCTGTCCCTCCCTCCTCGCAGCTGCTGAACATGTCTCGAGAGCTCACCGATCTGAAGACCAGCCTGCAGGCGGCAGAGGCAGCAGTGGCCAGCGACCTGGAGCAAAAACTCTTGGCCCACACTCACGCACACGCCACCCAGGTGGCGGCCGTGGTCGTGCCCAGCTTCCCCACCTCAGAGGCAGCCGTTCAGGCCATACTGGAATGCCTTAAGAACCTGGAGTTCACCAAAGCTGTGCGCTACATCCAAGAGTGCAGGTGAGTAACAGTTCTGTTCACAAAGCTGCTACATTAGTTTTCTCAGATGATATAAAACACATTTATTGTCCAGTGCTGCAACATTTGCTCCCATTATTAGAAATACATAAAATCCCTCCCAGTATTGGACGTTATCAAAAACAGTTTGATTCTTTCCCAACATTCATCAACATGACATCAAAACATGTCTTTGTTCTCCCCTTAAAAAGTCATCCAGAAAATGACTGAACACACAGTAGCATCTACGCACACAACACATACACATAATAAACTGCTCTCTTTATTTAAACATATGTATTAACTGATCACACCCTCTTTATCATCTCATTTTCAGGAGGCAGTGGCCCAGTGGAGTGTTCGGTGGCAGCTCAGAGACCGAGGTCCAGACGCTGCTCAACATCTATTTTCGCCACCAGACCCTGGGCCAGACAGGAACCATCGCCCTGGTCGGTTCCCGCCAGGACCTCAGCCTGATCTGCTCCAAGCTGTTGGAACTCAACGGGGAGATCCGCGACATGATCCGCCGCGCCCAGGGTTACCGGGTCGTCACAACCTACCTCCCCGACTCCAGCGTTTCTGGGACCAGCCTCTGACAGGACCTCAGGAGTTCCCCGCCACCACCTCCTTCCCCACCATCACCTCCCCCATCACTGCAGCCGCTGACCCTTCCAAGACTGCCTCCGTCTACTCTGGAAGAGGAGGCCCAGCACCCTCATACCTGGCCTTTGCCTCCGCCTGTGTGTCTGCTGCCCCGGATGCACGGCTCCAGGCAGATCCATGCCTACCGCCCTGTCCATCACTAGAGCCAGAGCCACATTCAGAGCGGGAGCCAGACTTTTCTCTCCCCTCCTCATCCTCCACTGCAGACTCTGATTCCTCTTGGCTTGATTTTCCCAAACCCCCAGACCTTTTCTCATCACATAGCTGCTCAAACACCCCAGGCCAACAAGATTTTAATCTTCCACACACACAAGAGCCAAGGAGGAGTTATCTTGATGAGAGCACTAATCTGTATTATCCTTTCAGAGGACGTTCATCTCACAGTTCCCCGCTGTCACATTTAAACAGCAACAAACACTCATTATCATCTCTAACATCCAACACATTGACGACTGTAGCTTCAGAACCCACCTTTCTTTCACACCATGACACACATGCATCGCCCATGCCCCCACCCACCTCCCATCTCCCACACATCCCCCGCTCCCCATACAAACACTCAAGCCCGTCCCCACTTCAGCACTCTGGCCACGACACAGTCTTAACCCACGGCCCCGTCCCATCTTCATCCCTCCTCCCTCCCCCTCCCCCTCCTCCTCCCTGCCCCACCGGTCCAGGAGAGGCTGCAGCGTGGGGTTGTTGCTGCTCCCTCGGTGGAGCCGCCACGCCCCTATCTCGCTACCTGGGGAAGGTGGGGCACGCCGCACTGCCCCTATTGAACGTAGGGGGGCTCCTGAATGCTGAACCGTCAGATGTTCAGACCTGAAATTTCTAAACTCACCATGACAGAGAACTAATTACTTCTGACCAACCAAGATCTTTTAATCTGAAAAGGAGAAGATGACACACCAGATACTTGGAGATTTTAATGGTTTAAGAAGAGCGACTCATGACCCAGAAATAATGGGATGTATCACGGAACCCACTGGATACTACAAAATGCTGTATGCTGACAAAGATGACCTGATGTGATTCTATCTGAGAACGAGCTTCGCTTTACAGCTACATGTTGTGAAATTGATGTGCGTGTAGTTTAAGTTCTCATCATTCAGCACAGAATCTGCTCAGCTCAGATTTCTAACTTGCTTCCAGAGGAACTCGAGACCTGATTGAACTTGATTGATTGCTACTGCCTCTTTCAGGAAAGACACCGTTTGCTGGTTGTATCACCAGTGAGGAAACTACCTGCGACACTTCGCCTATAGCTGGTAGAGTTTTCGCTATTGCACTAAATGGAATTTTGGTATTAAATTTAAAAATGTTACAGGAGGGCAGTAACGTTACTGTTTTTGTTACTGTGAGAGAAAGGGCTGTCACTTTTACAGAGAAGGAAAAGCCAAAATCTGGAGTTACTCTTCTCTCCTGTTGTGTCCACTGTTTTGAGACCTCCTCTGGAGGAAACTGTGCAATGCATGACGCAGCTGAATGCTTTCTACTGTACGCCCATGTCCCCTCTGCTCCCTGAAGTCTGCCCTCTCCAGACTGACTGAAAAGACTGATTGAGAAAGAGTGGATGCAGAATATTCAAGAGTAATTCCTAATGCTGCCCTTCGCTCTGTTTATATTCTGTGTCAGCTTGTCCTCCGGCTACTGTTGTAAACAATGGTGGACTGATCACACTCCTCTGTGGCTAGTTGTAGCATCATTAGTGAGTGTGCACACTGTATATATATCTCCCTGTCCGACACTGTAACACTTTGACCTTACATGTTCACAAAGAGGATGGTGCATGTATACACTCAAATATTTTTGTCTCTGTATACTGTTAATAGATATGGGTGCACAACCATAGTAGCATATGTTTGTGTGTGGTTTGTAGTTACCTTACACGTGAGGGAATGCTGACATTCAGCGCTCTCTGTTGTTCAAAACTCGTGCTACTACTGATGTTCAACACTTCCTGTCGTCTGCCACTTTTTGTGACTCCCCTTTGTTTCCCGCTCCAGCGGTCACTTCCCCTTCGCTGTACAAATGTCTTTTCCCTATTTATATCTGATCACTATAAATCGACACTCATTTGAATTAGGTTTTATATTGATGTTTTGTCCTCTCAAACTGCCATGCATGCATCTTCTGTGTACTGTATGGAGTGTTGGAACTATTTATTAACAATCATTTTATCTGAAAGATGTTTGTATGAGGTACAAAAGGGAGCTTTAAGCTCATGCGGGTATGTGTCCCCCCCATTAGTGTGGGAGAATGTGTGTGCATGCCAAACATGAAATTGCACATTTTTAAAGCTTTTTAGATGAAGACTGTAGTTGTTTTTTTCACCTTGTAAATACTTTTACAGCCTTTGTGAAGTTGTTTTGAGTTGATGCTCTGTACAAGTCAGTGTCAAAGTAAAGACATATCAATTATTTTTCTTGTTTTGCTTAGTCCTCACATCACACACACACAAAATCAAGAGTTGCACTGACCTCAGTGTTTCATTGACAGAACTACTGATTCTAATGTTGCCTCCAAGCAGTAAGAGTCAAATTGAACTGAGCTGCAAAATGAATGTAAAACACAGCAAGTTCAATACTAGAATGATGCTCGAGGCTAAAGCTCTTTCTTGTTTAAGTGAAAAAAGATCCTGAGTCAATCCATTTGTCTGGATCCAAAATGGAATAGATTCTTCCCTGAGTCGTGTCCCACCCCTCCACAAAGTTTTGTGTCAGTTGGTTGAATTGCTTTTGTGTAATTCTAACAAACAAACAAGAAGGGCACTCAGAGCATCAACCACCGCCAAGGCAGATCGGCAACTTTATCACCATATTGCATAGAACACTTGTTATAATTTCATCTGTTCGCAGATATTAGCACTCAACATATGGCTGATTGTTTTCAGTAAGAGCTTTGCACCATTTGAGAAATTCACATCAAAAACAGTAATCTTCTCGTAATCCTCCAAACACACAAGCAGGAATCACAACACATCTTTGGTGGGAGTAATAATCTACAACCGTCTCACATTTGAGGTGCAATGTTTATTTCGTAAACTTTCTTTTTGCAAAATAATGTTTTCATGTCAAGTTACGCACCAGGATTCACAGAGGGAAACAAAGAGCCCTGTAGACATGCCCCCCCCCCCCCAAACACCAAGAGACTCAGCTACTCGCTGGTTGGAGAATAAATAAATCTCTTCCAAGTCTGTAACTGGAGACAGCTTCTAATCATGACATGTACAGGTAACCCACACGTGTGCTGACATCAGTGATTTGGCCTTGACCCTTTGTTAACAGAGGCAGTTGGAGCTACGTGAGGAATGAGCGGCTCCGGACCAGAGTGTGGAGCTCAGACGATGTACTTGAAGCTGTAGGTGGCGTCGCAGGACAGCCTCATGCCCTTGCAGCGACAGCACAGGTCCTGGCGGTGAGGTCTCTTCATGTTGATGTGTCTCTGCTTCTTTTCACAGCTGCAGCAGGTCTGAGAGCAGCCCTGAGACGAGAGAAGAAACAGAACAAGTCAGTCTGGGAAGAAACTGAACAGCCTCCAAAACCGGATGATTCAACATTTCCCCTTCGTGCAGGACAGAGTGGATGTACCTTGCAGAGGATGGGCTCCACTCTGTAGGGGTTGAACCCCACCTGACACTTCCGGCAGAGCTGCTTGTAGTACACCTGACCAATGAGAAATCAGTATCATGATTTAACCATGATGGGGTCCATTTTATTAATGCACCACTTACCTTACTGGTTCCAGAGATGCACCATACGTAAGCACTCTCCCACCGGATGTTGCACTTCTTGCAGTGGAAAAAGCCATACCTCTGCTCCAGGAACTAAAAACATGACAAAACATTTAAAATGTGTTTGTGCAGAGACCTTGTAGGAGATTATGTTGTGATGAAGGTTGATGCAAATCTAAAACTGCAAATCTAAACTATCATTGCCAGGAATGAGACAGGATTATAAACTGATCCCAGACCTCCAACAGCCTCCCCTCATGCTCATTCATTTTCTGCACTGTACAGTACTTTTTATTCTTTTTTGAATTGTTATAATCTTACGTTACATTTCTACCTTCCATAGGTCCTATTAATGTTTCATGATGTTTCTTTCACATCCTGTTTTTATTGTATTTGAAGCACTTTTGAATAACCTTGTTGCTAACAGTGCTAAGATGAAGATAAGGAGGGTTTAAAGATTACTACATCTACTGAAGTCCTGCATGTCTGTATGAAATCTGATTTTAAGATCTTCATGTGTTCAGTTTTGTGCTGAGGATGGGATTATTATCACATTGGAAATTTGAACTCAGGGATATTTGGTGTGTGTGTGTGTTTTGGACACACCTCACACTCCCTGTGATCCAATTTATTTTTGGACCATCTTGAATGTTTTGTATTAAGTGAGTTTCTAATATGAATGTGATTGATATCCAGTGGAAATCTAATCCCAGGTGTAGTGACTGTGTGACCCATCACAAAGTGCATGTCCCCAAATAAAGATTAGAATAGAGACTCATTTTGAATGTTTGGGGTTTGTATGTGGAGGAAGGGATTGGTCATCACAGAGGAAACATGAACCCAGGTGTAGGGAGCGTGTTTTTGGACACACCTGGAAGTTGGAGCCCTTTGCGGACTGTCTGAAACTTGTCTTTATGTCCTTCTCCGTGTCCTCGCTGCTGTGATCGGCCTCTTCGTCCCCGTCAGACTCGTCTTGTTCGGCGGCCTCAGGTTCTCCCTCACTTCCGCCGTCGTCTCCGGCTTTCTTGGTGAACACCCTGCGGTCAAACACCGGCGAGTAGATGGACACAGGTCTGAGGAAGCGCAGGCTCATCGGCGGCGTGTCGTGCTGCGACTTCCCGCCGGGCCCGAGACCCGGGCTTTGCGGGGACTTCGAGGCTCCGGGGCGGTCGCTCTCCAGGCCGAACAGCGTCTTGGGACCCAGCGAGCACTGCACGATTTTATCCACCTTTGCGTTCACCTGCACGCCGCACTCCTTGGTGGTGGCCCTCCGCAGTGGAGCTGGCAGAGCTCCGGGGCTGACCTGGGACAGGATGGCCCTGCAGAGCTCCAGGTAGTTCAAGCCCTGCGGGGTCATGAAGCGGCCCTCCCGCTTCCCCCAGGTGCTGCCCGGGGCTGGCGGAGCGCAGACCGGGGCGCCGCGCAGGCCGTACGGTGGAAACGTGGTGAGGAACCCCTCCATCCTGGAGCCATGAAACCGGTCCCACTTCTTCCTGCTCACATTTAAATGGCTGCAGCACTGATTGGTTGATGAAGAACAGGAGCGTGCACGATGCAATTAAGCTGCTTTTTAGACAAATACTAAGAATTAATAAATTATAAATGATTCAGCTTCTAGTTTATGATTTCATCAAATAGTCTGATTACTCACCAACAACTTTATAAGAGAGTCAACACAATAACGTGGCCTATGTGTTTGTGTGGTGCAAAACCTTTATATTATTTAATGTCTTTTTAAGTTGTGTTTAGCCTCTCATATCTTTTGTGGATCATTTTTTAAAAACATTTCCATCTCAGTTCAATTTATTTGCAGTTTCGCAGTTTTGAATTCATCATATTTTCATCCTTTCTATTTTTTTCTTCACTCATTTCCCATAAACATATGTTTCATCTAAAAACTGATCTTAAACTCAGCAGTAGAAGTGAACAGCTGGAGCCAGAGTCAACACATTCAGGCCTCACGCAGGTTAATACAAATGTGCTTTAATATTTCTAACATTTGTCTCTGCGTGTTTTTCTCCATATGAGCTCAATATAAATATCAAAAATAAACAGTGAAAGTCTGAAACATTATATTGGAGCGCCCCCTACAGCTCATGTTGACCAGGGAGCCATCATAAAAACAAAGAGTGGAGCTGATCTTAGAGACATTTTATTCCTTTTAGAACATCGAGAATATATTTGTTGCTTAAAAGTCATGTGGCTTTTTCAGGAAGAGTAAAATCAGTGATAACCTCAATAGAATCTCAACCTACTGTATGTTGTTGTTTAGGGAGAAATTAACGACTCCAATAACCTGACCGAGAAAATGCTGCATGGATAGAAAACAAAATGACTTAATATATTTTAATAGACTGATTGATTTTCTATGTATGGATTAACAGACAAAAAGACAAAAGAAATCTATAGTATAACATGTTAAAGTGATTTGTGACTCACCAACATAAGCACTAATCAAAACACAACACCCCTTTAGACTCATGAATTGTCTCCTCAGTTAATGGATAATAAATACAGTTCACACAGAGGGGACGCAGACGTCATCAATGAGAACAGTGTGTTTGTGTGACCTTGTTTCATTCATCACTTTATTTTAGAAAAACTCATTTCAAACACATCCTGCTGCTGCGTTCAGGTGCTGTGGGAAACTACACTCTCCACACAAACCACAGAAGTAAAGGCAAAATGTCACTTAGTCATGCAAGACATTAGTTTGGCATTTAACATAAACACTTCATCTATTTCAGAGTATGTTCACTTACAGGCTGTAGTCTAACTTGTTATTAGAGTCATTTTCTCCTTATTTTTCACAGTGGTCAGACCACAGTATTGAATTTACTTCATAGAAAATAATGAATGTTTTTCTCTATATTTTCAAGATGTTAAACTGAACATAGTTTAGCAGAACTGGTAAAAGAAAAAACTATTCACACATATAAACAACTTTATTTATGAACTAAATCAAAGACAATACGTACATTTATTTACACATACCGCTTCAGTTTTCAAATTATAAGAAAAGAAATAGCAAAAGAAGGACTGTAAAGAGCTATGAGTGGTCATCAAGACTAGAAATACTCTAATAATAATATATATAATTAATATATATTTAAATAAGGAAAGATTTAATAACCACAAGGACTCATCAGAATACTGTACAAAGTAAAAGTATTGCACTTATATGAAATTGATCTTGCACGGATACCAATGGAATAAACACATTATCTAATTATATATTTAAAAATAATAATTTGAGTTTATGTGCAGTGACATGAGGATATTGTGATGACACGAGCACCACAGCCCTACATGCAGTCGCTCTATAGGTGGCGCTGTGCCCTCGCAGGTCATTCGTACCCATGGGCTCCAGAGCTCCACATATTGGCGCCATTTTGGAGCTAGGAGGGGGAAGAGAGCTGCAGAGGAGGACGCGACTGATCCCGATTCACCGTAACAGGTAAGAGAAATGCACCGACCCGCTGGATTGAGACGCGGCTGTGTTTTATAGACGCGGCGGCGGAGAGCGAGACGCAGCCCGGTGTGCGGGGGGAAGTGTCCGCGGAGTAGCCCGGTTTCCCTCCCTCCTCCCCCGGGCGGAGAGCTGAAGCGCAGCCCGCCTCGCTCGCTTGTGTTCCTCGGCTGCCGCGGCTCGATTCGCGGCGCTGGTCGACCTGGTCCTGCGGCGCAAAAAAAAAACAAAAAAAAAACTGGTTAGCAATAGAAATTCGAGACCCGGTGTCCCGACAGCTCCGGCGAACAGCGGCTCGCCCCGATAGCTTCACCGCGGTCGGGGGTGTCGGTGTAACGGCGGTTGAACCGGGCTGTTTGTCCAGTGTCCGCCCTCTTGTCACTGAGATTGTTGCTGCTGATGCTAATGCTAACGTTAGCCCCGCTGTGCGCACTAGCTAGCTGGCTAACTGCAGCTAACTCGATTAGCAACATTACAGCAACACGGAACCGGGCATGCACCGCGGTCCTCGGCCCTGACACGCTGCCGTACCACAACAATAAAGCCCCGCGCATCCACGCGGTGTTTCCCCCTCTCTGCGCTCACTCCCTCCCGAGAAAACACACTAATGCTAATAGTGTCCCGGCGGCTGCTCGGAGGCTAAATATTGTCGCTGTGACTCCCAGCGTGGCTGTTTTTTTTTTTTTTTTATTGCAGAGACGTCGCCTCGTAGCGTAAATGGTTTATTTAGCTGCTGATCGGCTGCGTCTCAGAGATCGGAGCCGTGTTTAGCCTCCTCTAACCCGGGCTCTGCAGCACTGAGGGCAGCGCACATGGTTGTTGTTGTTTTATTCATTATAACGTTTGCAAACAACACAAGCGGGCTGAGGAGAAGGAGAAGCGGTGAGAGAAAAGCACAAAGACAGGAGGAGGTGTTCCTCCGGGCACAGCATGGTGGTAGATAAAGTGAGTCTGGTTTGACAGCTATCAGTCTGGGATTATTGATTATTGTCTGATGGTCAGTGGGTAACACAAGCGTCTTTATTACCTGGATACTTTGCATATTTACTACAGTGCAGCTCTGTAACTATTCACACATTTTAGTTTTCATATTATAGTTGAGCCTTCTCTTCTGATTCTGCTCTTGTACTTTGGGTTCTTACAGTATATTTATCTTCCTCATTACACTCACACTATTTTATCCATGTCTTGCTTTATTGTTTCTCTCACTTCTCCTCTGACATTCATCATTACAAGTTAAGCACCATAACACCAAAGCAGATTCCCAGTGTGTGAACACCTGCTCGATTGTGATTCTTATGTGCCAAATTATATCAAGATAAAACCCGACATCAGTTCATGTTGCTCGTCATCACATTCCACATAATTATATAAACACAGATTGTTGCTCCTGATTGAAGTTTGGGTTTTTAAACTCTTCTTTATGAGAATGATAAACAGAAAAAGCAATTCAGATGTAGATCAATAATGTGTCTGCACAGTTCATAAGTATTCTATTAAAATATATTGAGCCTTTTTATATGGCTATTGATGGAACTTGTTTTTGAGAATAATTGATATTGCTTAATTACTGGCCCCAATTTAAGGACTATTAGAATTATATTTCATTGAAATAACCTTTATTATTCCATTTAATATGACTACAAAAAAAGCTAAATGGGAATTGAATATAACAACACATGTAGGGCAAGGGGAAATTTTGTGTTTGAGCTTGTACATATTTTTTTGCTATCTTTATTAAATGGCTTTGCACAAAACCACATTTCACGGATGAGTGTTTCATCAGGAATTGCGCTGTCATACTTCTGGTTAGAGTTAATGTTTCCTTTCGCTGGCTGCAGCCCAGAGACTTCACTTTTCCTTCACTAAAAGAAAAACAGAGCAAAATTGCATCTGGTCAAATTCTTTCTCTGTAAAAATCCACGCTGGTCTCGTTTCAGTTTTGTTGAATGGATACTGGAGAGGGGAAAAACAAAGTCTGAGCAGCCAAATAACTGCAGACATGTGATTGAGCTGGGCTGTCTGTGTGTAGTTTGTGTAACTTCTTATGAGGTTTACCTCAACCTCTCTGTCTCATTTGAACAACCTTTGGACTTGTTTTAGTTTCTCTGCTTCATTTATTTAAAGGTAACTGAGCTAAACTGGTTCTGATTGGAAGAGATTTGTTTGTTTGGTAAATGTCTTATTTCATGTCATTGCATCTGGGTGTAATCTGATGCTTCCCTTAGCCGTGGGTTTTCCTTCACTTTGTGTGTGTGCCTGTGTGGAGGTCGTTGAGTTCCCTCGTACAACCCTCCGGTGTCCAGTGGTGTCCTTCCTCTTGTTGCTGCCTGTCGCACTCTCCCCGCTGGGTAAAAACCTGGGGGTGTCAGTGTCAAGGTTCAGATTAGGTTAGGAGAGCTGCCCTGAGTCTTCCTATTTCTGCTGGCAGATTTGTTTAAGGGCTTAAAGGGGCAAGCAGCAGATTGATAGAAAACACTCAGTGGGGGGATCAATGTGTTTTGACTGTGATAAAGTAGTAATGAGTAGAATGGGGCCCATGTTCAGGGGGTTGACTGTAGGGTAAAGTTTGCCTGTTTGTGATCATTTGGTTCAGCTTCTGATTCAAAGTGAAATTGTCCCAGATGGATGGTACCCAGACCATCCTAAGTCGAGAAATACTCTACTTTGATTGGCTGCCAGCGCTCTCTGTGTCAATGCGGTAGATGGAGAGAGATATGGACTCAAATTTGGCAGCAGCTGGGTGGTGGAACAGAAGGTCAGAATCAAGCAAGCTGGCTGCCTGCCAGTGTCCAGTTTGTGCTTTTGGCTTTGTGAATCTGTGTGTGTGTGCGTGTGTAAAAGCTCAAGTACAACTGCGGGAAATTGTTGGACTGCGATTAAAAACTCAGTGTTGCAGTCTCGCCTCTAAATCAAACCCACAAAGAGCCTTTGTCAGACGGCAGACCTATTGACCCAGACTCCTTCACAATAATCAATTGTCCTTCAGAGATAAATGTGTTATGAGAAAATCACAAA